AGAAGAATATTTAACTATTTTTTTTAAAAATCTCTGCGTCCCGGGCGACAGACCACGGTGCAACCGCGGACCTGATGAAATTTCCGGTTGAAAATGTATCCGCACAGGTCGTATCCCAAATCAACGATATCCCCATTTTAACACGGAAAATGGTAATGCCATCCGGCCGCTTTCCATCACCACTGTCTAGGCCTATGGGTTCAATTTGGGAAAGGAATCCAGACCTCTTCTGATGATCTCGTCTATGCTGCATGCCATGGAAAGCGGCTTGCACTACGACGACAGGAGAGAAGATGAAAACCAAACTCTTCAATGGAAGCTCCATATCTGCATCTGTGACACTCACATCATTTGAATACAAGACGGATCGCGACTCCGACACGACTGCACTTATCATCTAGAATGGTACCCGTAGATGAAGAGGGTACTGCGTTGAGCTCGGTTGTGAAGTAGATAGTAGACAGGCGAGGCGATGCTGATCCAAAGAGAGCCTCAAATTATCAAAATTGGCCTCGCATTTTATTTTATCCCAGCTTTTATGTTTTGATGTGTCTAGTGGGATAGAAAGTAATTCTTGGGCCCAGACACTGCAAGCTTGTTCGAAAGAACTACCCGAGAAACATTGAGACGATTCACCGAGTATCTCATCAATTAATTCGCGACTGGAAGAAAGTGAAGAAAGATATACTGGAAGGGCCAAATCTATGGCTGATCGAAGACCCAGGCTTCCGAAACTCAAGGGGAGCTTTGTCTGCCTCCAGTCTGTGTCGTCGAAATTAATGGTGCAAATTAACTCCGTACATCTCTTAATTGTGATATCAATCTCGTTTAAGAAATCCTGTTCGAGGTAGCAAGGGACACTTTGGAGAGTGCAGACTAAACTCGGTAGCGAAAAGCTGTTCTTCAAGAGGACAAGGCCTGGGTGTGGATCAATTAATTGCAATTTCTCAGTCATTCTTGTTAGAATGACATGCTTAATCTCCAAACACTTTCGAATGGCCATTGGAAAGACTGGAGAACCAATAATGTGTAAGTCCTCCTTACGTATTATTTTTATATCCTCAAGGATGAGTCTAATATCCCGGATAGCACTCTCTAAATCATCTGCATTATAATTCAAGTTTATTATCTCTGACTTGGACGAATTAATCTCAAGTCCAAGCAGAGATAAAGCAGGAATAACTCGTCGGAGGTCAGCAGCTACGGCCTCGATGGATCCTCCCGGCGTTGCATCGTCAAGATGCTATATTTTGAAAGGAGAGGCGATGGAACGAGCTACCCCGTCAATAGCCATCGCAAATAGTAGTGGACCAAGTGGATCACCTTGCTGGATTCCGGTAGCAGAAGAGATAATATTATCGGAGGCGATCAACATACTTGGATGACTATGCGAAAAGATGAGCCAGTTGAAATTTGGATCATATATCATTAGTTTTCTCAGCGGTGATTTTATTGTGCTTATAAATACACAATCTATCTATCTATCTATCTATCTATCTATCTATCTATCTATCTATCTATCTCTATTCATATCTATCTCATTCTATTCATATCTATCTCATTCTATTCATATCTATCTATCTATCTATCTATCTATCTATCTATCTATCTATCTATCTATCTATCTCAGTCTATTCCCATCTATCTCTATTCATATCTATCTTATTATCTCCATTATCTACATCATTCTGTTTCTATCTATCTATCTATCTATCTATCTATCTATCTATCTATCTATCTATCTATCTATCTATCTATCACATTATGTCCATTATCTATCTATCTATCTATCTATCTATCTATCTCACTCTATTCATATCTATCTCTTTCTATTCAAATCTTTCTCATTCTATTAATATCTATCTATCTATCTATCTATCTATCTATCTATCTATCTATCTCATTGTATTCAAATCTTATTATCTCTATTATTATTGGACTCTAGTCTCTTGAAATTCATAATTTTTTTCCCCATTTAATTATATTCGTTAATTAAAATTAATTTACACGCTTTTAAATTCCCAGAATAAATAACTTGATAAGTCCTGGGACGTAACCGGTAGTATTATTTTGGCTTTTGCTTTTAAAAATGCCTTCTTATTATCTTTTCCTATCTATTATCTCATTCTGTTTCTATCTATCTATCTATCTATCTATCTATCTATCTATCTATCTATCTATCATCTATCTAGTTGTATTAATAACGCAAAAAGAAATGAGAGATTCAGATCAAAATCGTTATTTTGAATTTAACCGCCCCCCCCAAAAAAAAAAAAAAAAAAAAGTTAAACGACAAAACCGAATATTACTGCTCTATCTCAATCTACGTTCTTGAGCTATTGGGCACTTTTAGCTTTTGCGTCGGTAGGTGTCTCTCGTTTTCCTTTGTCCTTTTTGAGTTTCCTTTACTTAGTTTTGCATGTTTTCTTGATTTATTTTCTTGAATTCTTTTTCGTTTTCCCCTCCGGTAGGATTAATGTTGGTAGAGCTGTTCTTTGAACCTTAAACAATACTTGTCTTATTTTGCTTCACCCCATCTCTCTGTATATATATATATATATATATATATATATATATATATATATATATATATATATATATTTGAATGATAAAAAATATTAAAAAATTAAAATCTTTAGACACACTGGGTTGTAGATTAATATTCTTTCGTTTTTTTATTATTATTATTATTATTTCATTTAGATTCCTCGACTAGTTTCGACCAAAATGTCCATCATCGGGAGGAGAAATATTTCTGCTTGCTGGTAGCAGTAAACTACAGAAATGAATATCTTGATGGAGAAAATGAACTTTTGTCTGTAGTTTTCATTTGTTTTTTTTATTTTTTTATCTTTTTAACATGAATCTTTTAACAATCCTTGTGTTGGTCAAACAGTCTCTTTTAAGTTGTTATTTGAGATAAGAGCTGGATAGATACATGCTGCTCTGAATTCTCTGGTCAGTTTGACAGTTTTATTGGACCTGGTGAGGGGATGTGTCTCTGTTTAGTGTTTGTGTGTGTGTTATTTCGTTCTTAGAGAGTGAGTAGGTATGATATGTGTAAGCGTGTGTATTGCTGTGGGTGTGTGTTATCATTTGGCTCATTAGGAAGTGAGTGAGTATGAGTATGATATATAAGGTTTTCCTTGTAGATTGTTGACATGTTTTAATAATATAAATTTATGAATAAAACATCGTTTTAACATTTAATTTTTTTATAAATTGATAAATATTGCATTGCCTTAGATTTAAGTTCAGAATATTGAAAATATGAAATTATTCATGTAAATAAATAATCTAGTAAATAAATAGCGCTTAATGTTTTATCGTAAATTCTCAAGAACAAAAAAAAAAGCATAAATTCACTTTCATCATATGTTTAACTTTTATTCTAATTCTAATCATCGCTTTTAAAACAATAAACTTCTCTGAAGAAGGAAGATAGTTAAAAGAGCGGGTGTCATGGGAAAAAAACCGTTCTTTTGAAACTATGTCTTATTGCAGGCAGGTTTTTCTATGTCTGTAGAAAAGGTCAAAAAAAAAAAGCAGAGAGAAAAATAATTAAGAATAATTTTGTAGAAAACGGAAGAAAAATAAAGTAAGCAATAGATAAAAAACGAAGGAGAAAGAAAAAGAAATGGAAGAAGGAAGATGACGGGTAGAAAATAAAATGGAAAAAGAAAAAGCCTAAAAAAAAAAAAAACGAAAAAAACGCGTTGGAGTAAAAGCGAAAGAAAGAAAAGTAAATCAAAATATAAAATGAACACTAGAGAAAAAAAAGAAAGAAAAAAGAATAAATAGTAATTGATAAAGAAAGAAAAAAAACATACATGCAATAATGAAAAGAACGAGGGTGAATAAAAATAGTGAAATATCAGCCTCGACAAATAGAAAGAATGAAAATAAAATTTCAAAAATAAACAAAAAGATGTGTAGCTTTGGCTCAAGGTCGAAAGTATGGGGCACCCTGTGCGGTTGGAACTCACTTTAAAGTGTAAATTTTTTTGAGATAATAATGATTTTTACTGATAGAACTTCTATTAATAAACCCATAGCTGAGGGGAGAAGGGGTGGATTCATACGTATCCCAAAAGTATTTGAACCTAAGTAGATATAATGGCCCTGACTGGAATTGGAAATTGGCTCTCCAATTAAATATTTCGAGCCGTTATCAATTACACCAAGCGCAAATTCAAGCTTAATACCGCTAATATTTCCAAGAAGTCACCCATCTAGATACTGACCAGACTCGACGTTGCTTGACATTGCTGACAGTAATCAGTATTTTTAAGGGTAAAATTTGCCATGTGCACTCTCCAGGACGGATGTAACGTATACTATTTCATATCTTATTCGGGGTACGCTATTCGTCGTAGTATTTTTAAAGGCTGGATTTACACTGAGCTTTTGGTGTTTTTCAAAGCTGTATTAATTTTATTGCACTATTTAATAATCTAATTCTAAACCCATATATAACCCAGTGCACATGTTAGTACTTCGTAGGTCCATTCCACGAATCTTTCCTTGCAGGCTTACCATAGATTCTCGATTGGATTTAAATCAGGAGAGTTTACGAGCCAATCGATAATAATTTGATTTGCTCACTGATAAGGCTTGCCATTGTGTTTGCGCAGCGTTAGAAATGTCGTGCGTTTCCATGGAGTAACGTCCATCGCAGACAATGCTCGTAGGACAATTCATCGACAGTCGAGACAATAGTGTGTGCCCGTGATAAAAATCTGATGCAATCACGGATGACGCAATATTTTTCAAGGCCAAACAAATTTCATCATACACCTTGAAAATAGATTCATATTACTGCACACCACTGCAAATTACCTAAACCGAGGAAAAAAAAATAGAAATCGATAACCATCTGTTATTCCAGTAGGTCTAAAACTGACTGAATGGTTAAAGAAATGAAACTAAAGTAGTTTTTTTAATTAATTTGCCCAAAGTTTGCGTTCGGTTTAACCACCAGTCCAAGACGTTAATCATTAAGCTATTCCCATTATTATATTTAAAAAAAGAAACTTTTGACTCGTGTTTTTTTTTGTATAAGGACCCAAAGAAAAAAAGATCAAATATGAAATTACACCGTTTCTATGACTTAACATCTGATCTAGTTGAACTGTTTCACATCTGTTACGGAAAATGTGTTCTTTGTGTTTTTAACGTCTTAACTATGATTAGTTCTGTTTTCATAATCAAAGATTATCAGGATGAAAATCAGAGTGATTACGATTCGAGCCACCATATGGCAGATTACTGGTCCGTTTGTTTGCTCTTCCACCTGCTTAATGATGACATTAATGTTTGGAAAATATTTATCAGGAGCATGCACGTGCGAAATCAACATCGGTACGAAAGTCACCTAAAAAAATAAAAAAGATTAAAATATACATATATATATATATATTTCCTAATTTATTTTTTTTTTATCTTCGTAACAACTTGATATAGTTTCAAGGCTTACTTCTATCTGAGTTAATGAGGCATAACCTTATTATTATAGATGCATTTATTTGGACCCTTTTCCAAGCCTGCGTTTTTATTTACCGCAACGTAACGGTCACTAAATTCTGTGACTTATTTCATTAGATGAATAGATATATAACTGTAAAAAAAATGAAATTCACATAAAAGCGTCTACTTGGTCTTGTGGGTGATGGATTATTTTCAACCATTCGAACCCCTTCCCACCGGCGAAACATTGCAAGCCTCTCACTAGTCTATTTCAATGGAATCTGCCCAGACGAACGACATTCCTTAGTTCCACCCGCCAAGATATGACCCATCAATCCGCATACACTCAGGCGAACAATCCACATTTCGTTCGTATTCCATTACTGTGAACTATGTTTTCCTCAAAACTGCTTCTTTTAACGAACCGCTAATTTGTATAAACGTCTCCCAAGATGATGCTTTCTTGACCACTAGAATATTAATATTTTTATGTCTTGAGTTAACAATTATATTTCCCACAGATCCCCATAGACTGCATTTCATTTCCCTTACTGTTATTACTTATACAACAAACTCTACCTTGAGAGGCTCTTGGGCCTTGTATAGGGTAAACATTACTAAAAAATAAGTTATATATCATAGTCAGTTTTTTTTTTAAATAAACTTATTTCATATTGACAATGAAATGAGAACCATATTTAAAATCTTAGCAAATATTACATCAGTCCATTCAGTTATGCTCCATGCGTGATACAGGCGTAGGTGATCATGTATCTTTCGATACAAAACTGATATTTCCTGCAGTAGGTTGCCATTTCTTTTTGCGGTAGACCAGATGCCATCCAAATCTATAGAACCTGGTTTGTTCTGCTGTTTACCCACAGCCAGGGGGAGAAGAAGACTCATACTTTTCATCAAGCACGTAAGTGAATGTAATGGATTCGACTTGAATTCGAACTCGGCTTTCAGATTCCTCAATCCGAGCCGCTAGCCATTAATCTACCGCGCTTCTCTGATATCGATATTACGTAACTATTCCCCCCCCAAAAAAAAATCTCTCTTTTCTTTCAGCATTATTTATCAAAAACAGAATTATGATTGTGATACACTATTTAAATTATTCGGACTATTGTCCTCATCTTTGTCGCCATATTTATTACAAAGTTTCGGCCGATGTACGCTCCGGCCTTCTTCAGGGTTGTTGGAATGTCGAACTGAACCCTTTATTTCGCTCACTGAGGTAGACTGTTCTAGACCCACGTGGATATCAGTTATCTCCTGCTTAATTTCCCTCTCCAAGTTCTCCACCTCCTTAAACAGGTATTGAACTCACTCTTTTTGGCTCCAGTCACTGGATCTAACTAATGTCTTTATCCACAGCGCCATGTATCCTCAAGGACATCTGTATGTGAATTTCTGGGTATTATAAACCTAATGTCTTCAGCCCTCATTTTTTTACCAGTGCTCATAGTGCAATTGTTGATGTTATCATTGCAATGAGGTAAAGAGAGGGTAGTCTTGTTATTATTGTACAAGGAAACTACACTCACTCTCAAAAAGCTGGAAGGAGAAGGTACCCGACAGAAACACTCACAGGCGAGAAGTGAGAGAAAATATAATTTTGTGTGTGTGCGTGTGTATATGAAGGTGGGAATTTTTCGATTAATAGTACTAACAACAAAAGTGATTATTCTAATTATATATATATATATATATATATATATATATATATATATATATATATATATATATATATATATGAGACTCTCCTGTCGAATTCGACGTATGAGGATCAAGCAGATCAGTTCCTAGGAAACCGATAGTGGTAAAAGATATTTGGATATTGAGTTGTCCTTCTCCAGACAAGTTTCTATCCAAGGCTATAGAACACAGTCTGTCCTGCTATTTACCCATAGCTGGAGGGAGAAGAAGAGAATTCACACCTTTCACAAGTGTATTAGCACGTAAGTATATATATATATATATATATATATATATATATATATATATATATATATAAATATATATCAAAGTGTAGGAGAACGAACAGTAGGATTACAGCGTTGAAAACATTAATTTAAAAATAGTGCCCAGTACGTAAAGTAGAGCCGTAAATATTTATTCATCTTATGCAGTGTTACATTAGAACATGCACATATACACTATAAAATTGTACATTTTTGTTTCAACGTCAAAAAAAGGGAAACACTTTTTTAGACGTCTCATCAGGTGGGGAATTACGGTGTTACTAAAAGTTTTAATTCAGGAATATAGTTATCGAAGCAAATATCCCCTAATTCCGTTCTTTGAAAATTTTCATAAAATGTCTAGAATTTACATGTAGAGAAGGAAATAAATCTAATGCATTAAGTAGTCGTGGGTGAATGAAAAGGAAGGCTTAGATAAATAAGATAACTGGATATTAGCGACCGTATACGCGTGTGCTATCGTGCATACGCTGGTCAGCAAATAAATAATTAACAAATTTAGCCAAGAGGTGTAGACATCATTGTGCTCAATGTGATCAGACAGAGCTAAGAAATATATATTAATAAATACACAGATACCGCCGTTTGATGTGCGACTCGAGTTTCGTTGCTTACCCAAGTCATCTGGCACAAGATATCGCTTATTGTTTATTTTTAAAAGGATTAAACAATAAGCAATATCTCGGCCTGATGAATTGGGGAACCAACGATTTTCGAGTCGCAAATCAAATATAGGTATATATGTATTTAACACACACACACACACATATATATATGTGTGTGTGTATGTTTGTGTGTGTCTGTGTGTGTGTGTGTGTGTGTGTGTGTGTGTGTGTGTGTGTGTGTGTGTGTGTGTGTCGTGATAAATTACTTTACCGTTCCCAATTATAATCGGAACTGGACAAAAATGCCATGTCTTTCCTTCTGAGACGCAATCATTACCGGTAAATCTCAAAACTGATTCTGAGCTGCGAGTGGCCTACTAATAGAATGGTTGTTAACATTGAGGCTTCGAGGTTGAAAAAAAAGATGGTGTCGAAATCCCTGATCGACCGAATCGTAAAATCTTCTAAATAAGAAACCACATAGAAAAAAAAAATTAATATCGTTTAATATGAGGCTAACAGAATAAAAGAAAGATGGCTTGAAAGAGTAAAAAAAAAAATGAACCTAAAATACCCTGCTATTTATTTATGCTAATTCCTTTTGTTATCGTCTGCTTGAATTGATGTCATAGTTTTATTTATACGCACCAATAATATACTTTTAATTGTCACAGTAGAAATAGATTGAAGTCAATGAGCAAAAAAAATAAAAAATAAAATAAAAACAAAAAAAACTTGGTTTTAAGAAGCGTTGAGGAAACCCCATGATAAATAAATAAAAATGTCAAATCAAGAAAAAATTGTAAGAAAAAAGTGTCGGAAATATTTTACAAAAAATAAAGACCTCTGTGTATTTAGACACATTTCCAGCCCTGAGATGAGGTTATATTTGTCTTCCTTCAGCCATGATTAATTATATATTTGTTACGGTCATTTCGTTTCCGAGGACATTCCATTTTTGTTTGTAATTATAAATAACTTTCTAGTTAAATATGACCGCATATGTATTAAATGTGTTCGCATGCCCATGATAATTCTTTCCTGTAAATGTGTGATAAAAGATAACTCTTAACACTCTTCATAAGGTCATCGTGTCCGAGTGGTTAAAACTTTCGCATTCTGACCATGAGATCCGAGTTCGAATCTTACCATGGTCGATTTGTCAGGAAGGAGATATATTATTGGACTGATCACAGCGAGCGGTGCCTTTGGAAAGTGCTTGAAAACGATACCACGGGTTGACCCAAGGCTTGTGAGTGAAACTGGATAGACGGAAGTTACAAGTCATCATGGCCGAGGACTTGAGCGTACTGGCCTTGTTTAAATCATTGATCACGCTAGATAATACGATCTTTCCCAGAAACTGTAACTAAGGTCTGCTCAGCATAGTATAAACCACAGGTGGGCTCTTTGGATCTTGAATAAACACAAATGCTCCTGAATTAGCGTCTGCAAAAGGGATTGGCTAGCCACCCTTAGTAGACGGGTATCCTCGGATACGAATAATAATAATACTAATATTAATAATAATAATGAAATCATCAAAATACAAGGATCTTCAAGTAGCACTTGAGGAGATCAAAAATTCTAGCTGTATTTGGAGCCCTCGGATTGATTCGAAAAGGTTCCAGTCGACACACTGAAGAAATTCCATGTCTCAAAGAAATACAAAAAAACTGTACTCACAGTTACAGCTCTATGTATGTAAAATGTGTATGATATTAAGGTCGTTTTGTTTTGTTTTGTTTTAAAAAATGATCAGTGGAAAATGTCATGAAGTCATTTCTGAACTTAGGTCTATGGTTGAGACCCGGAATAAAATGTTTATACAAAAGAAGTCAAAGGAAACAATAATGATAATAATAATAACAGAAGTAGTAGTAGTAGTAGTAGTAGTAGTAGTAGTAGTGGTGGTGGTGGTGTTATAGCGATTTCGGCAGA